CCCCAAAACCCCAAAACCCCAAAACCCCTTCAAAGTGGTGAGAAGCTGAAATAATAAATAACTAAAACAATGAAGCCTTCTCAATACCCACACTTGGAGCTCGATATATTCACTTGATTTATTGGAATCATTCTTGCCTGCATCTTGGCATTCTATTATCTCTACAAGTGTCTCCCCTCATTCACTTTCGTACTAAGGGATAAAGAGACTCAGGATTCTCTAGAGAAGGATCTGGACAAAGTTATTAAAGAAGATTCTACAAAATTAATTCAAAAAGACAGTCAAAGAGAATTTATGACAAAAGAGAAAATTGAAGATAAAACAATTCTACAAGAACAAATAATTAAAAAGAAGGAAGCCTTGAAGAAAGATAGAAGGTTAAAGGAATTTGGAAGCAATAAAGGGATTGTGAACCCCGGCCTTGACTGATTCTTAGTCAGTGCTTTGCAATGTTTTGTTTCAATTCCTGAATTTTTTAGCCCTTATGATGAGCCTGAAGACATGCAATGCAAGGAATCTGTTGGGGAAATGAGTGTTTTGAATGAAATCATTGCTTTTAGAGAAAGATATTACCAAGTGAGTCAGGATAAAGTTAAAGTGGGAAGTATGAGAAACTATTTTGACCAAGAGTTTCCAAGATATAGCCAGCATGACTCGTGACAATACATAATGTCTTTGTTTGAAATTCTACAAACAGAAATAAATAAAGATAAAATTAGTTCACCATCAAAACATTTGGAAACCCATTCAGAAGTATGGAATGAATATATAAAGAACCATCCATCGACTATTGATCAACTCTTTGTTGGAATGTACGAGACTTGATTTGTTTGAAAAAAATGAGAAAACTCGGATATAGTTTATGAGGAGTTCAAAAATATTCCTCTCATTTGTAATGAAGAAAACCCAAATTTAGGATTTGAAGAATTTTTAACAATGCCTGAAAACATAGAAGAATCAGAATTTATATGAAGAAATTGACAAGAAGTGTTTATTTGTGAGATCTTCAAGCAAATCATAAAATTTCCAAAGTATTTGATAATGGTATTTCAAAGAATAAATCCGATAAGCCAGTATAAAATAAACTCAAATGTTTTCTATCCACTCAGTTTCTCTCAACGGGTTCCTTCAACTAAAGAGCAACTTACTTACAATCTTGAGAGCATAATCTCACACACAGGAACTCTGTCTAGTGGTCATTACACTGCCACTTGCAAGCGTGACTCCAAATGGGTCCACTTCAATGATTCGAGCTGTAATGACTTGCCTGCTAACTTCGACCCAACATCTCTGCCAAATGCATACATCCTATTCTACAAAACAGAAAGTAATTGCGATATCTAATTCAATCGAATTGTTCTGCAAGGGGTTTTGGGGTTTTGGGGTTTTGGGGTTTTGGGG